ATCTCTCGAGATAAACCGCCGCAGTGTCCGCACCGGATCCCAGCATCGCTCGAGATAAACCGGCACAGTGTCCGCACCGGATCCCAGCATCGCTCGAGACAAACCACAGTGGTGTTTGCACCAGATCTCGCCATTGCTTGGGATAAATCGGCACCATGTCTGCACCAGATTTCAGTACTGCTTGGTATCCCAACTGTTGTATCAGCTCCAGTAAAACTGCCGCCATACGTCTGACGGCACCATGAGGAGAGAAGTGATCCCAGTAGGGATCTGTGCAGTTGGAGTGAATGCCAGCATTCCAGGATGCAGCCTGGTCATGGCAGGTCCCTGAGGGGCTCAGAGAGACAGGGACACGGAGCGGGACACACACACACACACAGTAATGTGACTTCCCCGGCTCTTATCTGCCAGCAGCCGCCCTGAGTGGGTTGCAGGGGGCCATGGGAGCAGCTCTGTCTGTGACCCGGCCACTTCTCACACACAGCCATTGGAAGCAATTACTGACTGGACCCCCCCTCCCCAGGAGAGGCCCCAATCTGATTTACTGTTAATAGCCTCCGACATGCTGCATCAGAGTGGGACCAAGCGCATTAGGGCCCCACCACAGGCCACCCTCCTCCTCTGTCCCATTCCTCCTCATCCCTCCATCTCCACAGAAAAGCTGAGGTGTCCCCCACATGCTCTGAGGACTCGCGATAGTGGCCAAATCCGTCCTGACGCATCATTTGCGGCTGAATGGGGGAGGGGGGCGGTTCCTCGCTTTTGAAGGACGAGGTGTTCCTTTCCCAAAAAAAAAAAGGAAAATATTACCGGCATGACTAGAGACGCCGTACAAAGAACTCGGGTGGTGAAATTAAAAAACCGCCTTCAGTCAGACTGCATATTCGCACATTCATATTCAGTGAGCTGAAAGTAAGGTCGCAACCGCATCCACATTACAAAGAATCGCTGTCATTTAGTGATCTGACTGCTCAGTATGCGCTATATGTGTCTCACCAGTGTGTTTGCTAAGCATTCCATTTGAATTCCCCCCCCCCCCCCCCATGTATGGCACAATTACCTCTTCCGCATTTGTGCATAATATTATTCCTGCTTTTATGTTCAGCACAGACAGATTCACGTCATAATTCGGCACTTTCTGACCATCACGTAACAATGGGAGGCGGGAAAGGTGGAGGACAGGGAGGAGCCAACTGAGTCAGTAATGATGGGAGGAGCCAACTGAGTCAGTAATGATGGGAGGAGCCAACT